CTGTTTATCTCTGCGGTCCGCCGCCGGGCCTGTATGTCCCTGTCAGCTGCCGCTGGGTCTGTCTGCCTCTGGGGGCCGCCACCGGGCCTGAATGTCCCTGTCGGCCGCTGCCGCCGGGCACGTCTACCTCAGCGGGCTGCCGCTGGGCCCGTCTACCTCCACAGGCCGCCGCCACAGGCCTACCTGCGTCTGCTTGTCTCCGCCGCCGGGCTTGTCTACCTCTGTGGGCCTGAATGTCTCTGCAGGCTGCCGCCGGGCCTGAATGTCCCTGTCGGCTGCCTCCGCTGGGCCCGTCTACCTCAGCAGGCTGCTGCTGGGCCAGTCTACCTCCGCGGGCCGCCGCCGCAGGCCTACCTGCGTCTGCTTGTCTTTGCCGCCGGGCCTGTCTACCTCTGTGGGCCGCCGCTGGGCCTGAATGTCTCTGCCGGCTGCCGCCGGGTCTGAATATCCCTGTCGGCTGCCGCTGCTGGGCCCGTCTACCTCCATGGGCCCCCGCCGCAGGCCTACCTGCGTCTGCTTGTCTTTGCCGCCGGGCCTGTCTACCTCTGTGGGCCGCCGCTGGGCCTGAATGTCTCTGCCGGCTGCCTCCGGGCCTGAATATCCCTGTCGGCTGCCACCGCTGGGCACATCTACCTCAGCGGGCTGTTGCTGGGCCCGTGTACCTCCGCGGGCCGCCGCCGCAAGCCTACCTCCATAAGGCTTTATTGTTGAGGTGTCTCTAGCTATTTGTATTGCTAAAATTTTTTCATCCTGTGCCTAGTTTTACATTTGGAAAGAGTTTTAGTGTACTGGCCATTCACTTATAGGAAATGTGGTTTCTATATTTCCTGTTTCAGCCCTCTGCAAACTGACAAAATCAATTAGCCACATGTAAATTACATAAATCAATGCCAGAATTACAATATCAATACACTACTTATTTAAATTTCTTTCTTTTTATTTTGATCTTTACTATGCTCAGCTACATCCTTGGGAGTTGAAAATCTCATTTTTAAACAGTTTTCTATGGCCCTCTTAAAATTTTCCAAGAAATGCCTATTGATCATGTTCCAAATGGAAAGAAGAAAGTCTTACCTTACAAATTTTCAACTGGCTTTTAATTGCTATTGGCTCTGATGGGGTAGTGGGTTGGGTTTTCAACCAGTTTTCAGCAGTAGTTGTCATCTGCTCCAAATGCTGTAGCTGATTGTAAAAAGTAATGATGTTGTTTTGATACTCTAGCCAGTTAACTCTCTCACTCAGCAATTGGCAGAATTCTGCCCACCGGCTGTTCAGTTGTTCTGAGGCTTGTATGATACTTTCAGCATTAACACCCTCTAGAAAGAAAAATAAAATATATATCCCATGAAGCCACAGTCTAAAAGAGGCAATCTGAAAAGGAATATGTTTCTATTATAAAAATGTTCACCGTAGAATAATTCCAAGCAAATTCATTGAATTACTGATAAAGATGCAAAGGGGATATCTAATTAGAAATTGGAATTTGGTAGAGTTGAAACTTATCAAATCACACATATGTACTAAAATAACAAAAAGATATATAAAATATGGAATAGTATAAAAGATTCAGAAAAGGAAACTGATCAAAGATTTGATGAGGAATGTTCATGAATAAATTATACCCTAGATATTTCTAAAGAAATGTTAAATACAATTTAACATTTATTATTTAAATAAATAAACATTATTTGTAATAATATATATTATAAAGACAACTCACAGTTACATTAAAAACAGGTTTGGGTATTGTTTGTATGCTTTTTATAAAAGAAAACATACCTCAAATCAATCATTCTCTTTTTAAGCTACAATTTCCCCCCAAATATTCAGACTATACACTGTTTCATGGTGTAAAGCAAAAAGCATTTGGAAAAACAATAGTTATCTGAAAAGATTTTAATTTACTAATGTTAAAGTTTATCTATAGTTTTCAAATGGAAGCACAAGGACACATTTACTTCTCTGTAATAACCACTATATATTAGAGAATAAGTTTGTCTTTTCTTAGATGATATCTTAATTATCTGACAATGTGACATATGACTAAGCCACTTCAAGAGTGTGCTACCTTACAGAGCAATCAAGTTTAACAACATCATAATATGTCACTGGCTAAACTACTCAAAACACTACAAAGTTAGTTCACAAAAATAACATTTTCACAGATACACTAGTTTAGATGCAACTCCCTTACTAAATTGTATCATACAAAGAAAAAAATGATTAAATATGATATGATGTATTTTTGAAAATAATTAAGTTGGCACTGCCAATTATTTGGGAACACTAAATAGCTGGAGATTTCATATTTCAGCATTTAAACACAGCAATTCCTAAAAGCAAAAGCTCAGTACCTTCAAATATATGGGGAACAAAGTAATTTAGTAGAAGACCAAGTTGTTCAAGAGAACTCATTTTTGTGTATGTTCACTTAAATTAGATTAAGACTTAAGGAAATCTAAGATATATATATATATATATATAATGGCAAACATAAAGCCTGTAGTAGGTCAAGCTTATACAATACTCTTTTGTTCTTTTTAAAGGATAAACTTTGGAAAAACTAAACTAAACCTAAACTATGGGAAAACCATGGAATTCAGCATTTTTATTATTTCATCTCTTTTACTTTGGTCTAGTCAGTTCTTCTAGATTTTATTTTTTAAAATCATACTATTCTAGCAAACAAGACTATTCATTTGAAATATGAATCAAACCTTAGGAATTTCCTTTTTTTTACATTTTATTATTTTTTTTATTTTACAATACTATTCAGTTCCACATAATAGCCACAGATTCCCTCGTTCTCTCCCCTCCCGCCCCCCTCCCCTTCCCCCCAGCACACCCCCCATTCCCACCTCCTCCAGATCAAGGTCTCCCCCGAGGACTGGGATCAACCCGATAGACCCAGTCCAGGCAGGTCCAGTCCCCTCCTACCAGATTGAGCCAAGCGTCCCTGCATAAGTCCCAGGCTTCAAACAGCCAACTCATGCAACGATCCCAGGACCTGGTACCACTGCCTAGATGCCTCAATCAATGGGACCTCTTGAAACTGAAACCTAGGAATTTCAAAGTCTTACAACACCTAAGATGACATTAGGTGTCATTAGGATGTCATTCAAAACAGCATTTCTGAATACCTGTGGCAAAAATACCTTCCCCTATTTGCTAGTATATTTTAAAATAGAAATAATGAGAAATAAAATATAAAAAGCAATAAAAGCTTGGCTCCTTATACCTAGCTACACAAGAAACTCATGGTTTCCTGTGACCAAATCTTCTTCTAATTCCATGAATAGTTAAGGGGACTGAAAGTCATATTAAGACAAAAAAGTATGATGTGATATGCTACTTATGATTATTAGTTTTATGATTGAGAATATAGCAACCTAGTTTTAAGGGTAGCCACTATGTAACTGTAGTAATAACAAGCTTATTTGATACAAAGTATCAGAGAGAAGAATTTAAAATTTCAATTGCAAAATTACTCACTTTGAGAAAATTATCATAATCAAATAGCTAAATTAATTTAAGAAATAAAAAGGCATACTTTAAAAATGCACAGGAGAAAAATGTTTAAATTATGTAATGTCTCAAGATTATGCAATTTCCAAAATGATCTGATATCTCAGAGAAATACTGTTACCAAATGTTTTATTTTAATAAGAACTTAGAATAAGCAAGTTCATGACTATCAAAAAATCACTATAAATCAATAATTAAGTGTTAAATAAGTAAAAAGTATTCTGATGCACTAAACTGGATGGTTGTACATTTCAATAGATGAGTAGATAAAACAGAGAGATGTAAATGCCTCTCTGATTCTGAGAAAGATCAACTTTATAAAAACTTTTAGAAACTGGAGAATATACATTAATTTTCATTATGGCTGCTGTATCTTAATTTTGCTAAATGTAAAGCAAACCACCAAAGAGTAACAAAATATTTTGTGGTATCTATTAAAATACAAGGAATATGTTTTTATGTGTTATGTTGGTCATGGCTCTCAATTCTATGATGTGAAGCAAATAGGACAAGATGTTAAGTATTTATTTCTCTAAAAAGAATTAAAATGAAAGTGAGAAGTAAAATTTTTATAAATCTATAACACTATGAAATCTATAATATTTAGTTGTATAGTGAGTTTTATAACTGAATATGTGAAATTAAAATATAGTAACAACCAAGTTGTGATAAATAACAATATGGAAAAATATAAATATAAATATAAATAAACATATACACATATATAGTCAAAACTCTGAATTTAGATATATTTAAATTCAAACTCATCCCCCAAAACACAATTGAACTGGGTTCAGTTTAATACTGACATCAGGTATCATATTTCTTTTCCATTCTAGGAGTATAATAATAAGATCAACTGGTTGAGAGTTGGGCTGACATAGATGGATTTCTCCACATCTTACGAATCTTAAACAACTAGTAAATATAAGCAGTGTTAATATAGGAGATATGGTAAAGAACATAGAGAAAATAAGAAAACCTCATTTCTCACATTTAGAAAATAGGAGTGAGTTCTTTAATGAATTAAATAGAATATTTATGAAAACAATTGCTGAAATTTAAAAAATTAATTTTATATAAAATATGATATATAGAAACATTTTAAGGTGTTTTAAGATTCATCAATGACAAGTGATAAGTTAATTTTGGTTTAGGTTATTATAATACATACTCATCCATTTATAAAAATTTAAAATTGAGTAGGACAACTACCCTCAAAATTTAAAACAGAGAAGCACAAATAAACATAGCCTTGTAGATAATTTGTCTGTAAATATTTTATAAGTGAATAAGCTTGATATTCAAACTTAGTATAAGTTATCCTTCTAAATTAAAAGGCCCTATGGGAAATACATTATTACTGGCACTTTCTGATATAGTTCTCAGTGTATAGAAGAATTACTGTACCTATGAACTCATCCAACACCAAATCAATAGTTTGCTTCTTATGAAGACAAACATTAAAACAGCAATAGACAGAAGATTTAAAAATATCATACAAAATAATTGTATAACATCTTGTTTCCTTGAAAATGCTTGCACAGATGATAAAAAAACCATGTTAGACATGACATTAAACTTCTTGAATTAATTGAACATATATTTTCCATTTGGGGGTGATATTAGTAGACACCTTAATAAATGTCTGGAAAATAGTATCTATTTATCAAAAGAGTATTTGCCTATAAGAATTTTTACCACATTGTTTATGAGTACACAATTCATAGGATTGATTTCCTTTACTCAACTGAAAAGTTTAAGGTTTATGACAGCCTATAATTGTAAATATTTGGAGAGTTTACATATCAATCATCTGAGCATCTGGTTTTCTAATTTTTTGTTAGCTATTTAAGAATATAAACACTGACTCACCAGGCATTATGAACAATATTTAGGGAAACCATTTTGGATCAGCACATTAGATTCTCAGGGATAATGGATCATAATCCATTCACATCTCATATTCTAAACAACCCCTGAAATAGACTATGAATAAATATATTGCACCCAGAGGAAATGGATCATTACTTGAAGAGCATCCATTAATTTTATTACTTGTGTACAGTGCATAACAGACTGCTAGAATAGTTGTAATTATGCATCACCTTCCATGCAAGTACTTCAAAATTGACACCTAAAGTGAAGTATTCCCTATCAAGTATATTCATCATCAGCTCTGACGCCTGGATAAAATAATAAAAAAAAGGCTTTTCAGTGTTCTTTTCATTAGAATAATAGCTAGAATGAAACTTGCACTTCCTGACAACTTTCTATTTTGTTGTGCTTTAACTGAGGGTCATTATCAGAACATTTATCAACCAATAGAGTAGCATAACATGCAATATAAATGTATTCAGTAGTGATGATAAATGCAGATGCAAAACTCTGGAGGGTTCTGCGACCATTCTTTTAAACCACTCCTGTGCCACTTTTGGAAAAAAATACCATTTTAAAATTTATACTACTTACCACTTCTAGTGAATAAGATACACAAAATGTTCTAACATATGCCATTTTTTTCTGTTTCTAATGCCAGAGATGTAGGAGAATATGTATTTCTATGCATATTTGTTTCTGTCAGCAACTGCCCTCAAGAACAGTAGCTCTTATGATCTCCTTTCAAACACAAAAATATTTACATAAGCACAGGGACTCTCTCTCTTAAAGTATAAAGTTAATTTACAAAAATGCAGCTGTCAATTTACAGGATGAGAACACCGTGTAGAGCATTACCCTTAGTCTCATGCAGAAAGAAAGGAAATGTAAATGAAATTGTCCAGAACTAAAGAAGGAATAAGAAAATAGGTAATGTTTACTTTTTTAGGAAGCTAGCATTTCAGGGCAGTGAGGTAGACTATTGATCACAAGTGATGTGGTGGTTTATCAACCAGATGAGTCAGAACAGCTACAGTCCCTACCAACTGGCCCATCTGACAAAAGTGTGCTATACTCATGCAAATTAGTTCATGCACATGAAATATTTAAACTATAAAGCTAAACTTAAAAAGTCTTAGTGACTTAGTTAACATATGTGACAGGAATCCTTGTTGAAGCCTTATTATTGTGTTCAATTTAATTATAATTCTGGGCATATTAGGTACCACCTTAAATACTATACTCTAATACTCAGGGCATGAAATTTTTGAAATGTTCTTTTAGTATAATATACTAATAATTACTATCTTTAGTTACAGTTTTTTTTAATGTGATCGTCTTCAGGATGTAAATTAACACACACACACACACACACACACACACACACACACACACACACACAAATTGGGTCGGGCGGTGGTGGCACACGCCTTTAATGCCAGCACTCGGGAGGCAGAGGAAGGCGGATCTTTGTGAGCTCCAGGCCAGCCTGGTCTCCAAAGTGAGTCCCAGGAAAGGCACAAAGCTACACAGAGAAACACTATTTCGAAAAACCAAAAAAAAAA